AGATCCGGCCTTCTTTTTGTCAGATGTTTATTTTGAGTATATTCCGTAATATTCAATTTGTAATCTTTATGTGGTTTTCGTGTAGACAGAGTGGTAGAAAGGACTTAACGATGCTTTTGTTTTAGTTTAAAGGAATTGATTTTACTATTGAATTCAGCACAGTTAATATAAACTTGTCTTAGAATCCTCTCTAAAATCTTATATCGCGACGTGTTGTCTGTTTTACACGTTTGAAAAATATCCCGTGATAAATTGATGTTATAGATGTTGTTAAAATCAATATTCATTTATTCCAGTAACACTAGTTGTTTTGTAGCGCCGATATTGTTATGTAATATCTCAGCAGAGCTGACAGAACTAAACCATAAGGAATTACTCGTGTAATAAGTCGTATATTATCATCAAACACTTGTCAAAAACATTGCTAAATGTTTCATTCATTTCATTTCTTTTTTACCTGAGTAATATAATCGTAGTGTATATTAGACAACAACTCTATCCAACTTGTCACATGTATTAGACGTAAGATTCTCATATCTGAGGGGCGTTAGCCCCGAAGATATAAGACGATTACATCTGATTTACATAGAAGTTGTAAATAAATATTTTATCTTTTCTTTTGTTCTTTTGAGCAAATTAGTTTTGAACAGGAAAGTGTCATTATCTCAAATTTTTCCAAATGCAGTAACACTTTCATGTTTTGTATTTATGGATTTGGAATGAAATGTTAATTGCGTCTATTTTTCTGTCATCAAATTGATACCTTATCACTGCTTTTGTTTGGCAACATGAATTGCTGTACTATCTTGTCTTTTACTGGTTTAATTGCCAAAATCTGAACTTTTTACTGATACACGATAACACTTCTATGCAAATCAAGAAGTGTTAAATAGTTATTCAGGACATCATCTTGGTGTTCATGGTCAATATTAGAAATAAGTAGTTCTTGTCGTACTGTTTGTTGTATATGTAACAGTACAAACTGGAATTCAGTAGCATCCAAAATCCTCCTAGTACGAATTGAAATTCCAATTTCTACTGGATTTTAATTAGTATAAATTAGAATTCCAATTTTTACCAGTAGGTATTGGAATTCCAATTTAAACTTGGAAGATTCTGGATCCTACTGAATTCTATTTTGGTACGTATAATATATACATATCATATTATTTTAGTAGAGGCCCATCACTCCCTTGTCATAAATTCCGCTTCAATATCTCCTGATTACAACTACAGCGGGTATCACTGACCCAATTACACATGTTACTTGTAATTTGGAATTGGCAATTACTGTCTGTAAAAAAAATGTTTACATGTGACACTGATTTAGATGTTTTTAGGTCATGACCACCTCGATAGCGATACTTGCAATGTAGGCTGTATACTTATCTCTGAAATCCATGGACGCATCATTCTAGAGTAAACCCTTCAAATGTTTTAGTCATCTTTACTTTTTTGTCTTCATTTTGTCCACTTGAGGAACCTTGAAATAGTTACTTGACAAATTTTTATAAATTTAAAATAAAGATCTGTCAGGAATATTGCGTTCCTGTATGTATGATAGCTTTTCGTCCAATTTTGATCAATTCTCTCTCTTTTTTTATTTTTGCCTCCCTGGCCTCATGGCCATTGAACTGTTGTTTATCGTCTGACATTTAACAATTTCACCTTCCCCGCTGTAACTATTTTATTACCACCCTTTGGCAGATCCATAGTCTAAGGCAAGCAAACTACAAACTGTACATATCATTCCTTCCAGACAATTCTTGGTTATAATCGGTTATTTTTATTTCATATCGATTATTTACACTGAAGCTAATATTTTCAAATTCTGCAATAAAACAGTGATTACGAACATATTCTTTCAGTTTTGATTGCATGGTGACAATAAGTACAATATACAAGTATAAAACAGAGTCACATTAATTTTTTTTAAATTTCAATTTCATTTTTCGATTTAAACTGTTTGTCCGATTTGACCGAACATTTAAAACAACATGATTTTTTTATTTCGTTCATATCAAGGAAAAAATTCTAGCTGCTAGCTAAGTTTTTCCTATTATGACTACACGAAACTACAGAGGGGGAACTGTATATTATGATAATAATAGAGGGTAGTTGTGCTGCCACGTAAGCTATTATTCAACACAAATGGAAATATACATGTATGAATGACAGGGAAATTCTTTATTTGGTTTATTTCCCAGTATAAGAGAAGGGATTTCTATATCACAGGGCATAATTCGGATTATCGTGGACTCAATCCATTGAGGGTAATTTGTAATATTTGCCTTATATTTCGCAAAGTTTTTGAATTTCCTCGTATTCATATTGTTTCTGCATATAGTATTGAGTACTAGTATCTAGAAAAATGGTCCAGCGTTTCAAAAAGAACAACGATAAATTCAAAACTAAATGTGTGTTAACACCCTAGAACACTGAGGGGTGATAAGAGACTCAATGGCTTATTCACATCTTCAATACTGTTCGTGAAAATTAAAGGGCGGAAATTAATGGTATGATTTATTAATCATTTCCTAGAGAAAGAATTCCAAATACGATATCGATATCTTTTCATTAAATTACAGATTACTGTCTGTATGTCGATGAGTAATATACCCTTAACTCAGTCCGTTGACAATTTGTAACCATCAAACTTTCGTGAATTTATTTTTTCCCCTCGTGTTTTTTTGAGTGATTAAATTAATCAATTATGTTTCTATTGTTTGTCGTCTTTGTGTTTAATTTGTTTTATAATTCATAAGAATTACTGAAGACTCCTATCCTGTCTTCTTTCTCAACGTTTAAACCTTTCAGAAATGATGAAAGTTTTATGTAATGTGTATCTGCACCTAATGCGCAAGATTTAAAAACAAAGATAAATTCGACAAAGACGACCAAAAATAAATGTAGCACCAACAACAACTCTCTATTAATTGAAATCCTGAACATGAGAGTAACCGAGACAATCATCAGCTAAGTAGTGCTTTTGATTCCAATAAAAACAGGTGCCTCTGTTTACATTTGATTGTTATAAAATCCAGGATTGTGTAACAGGCCTTAATTGATTTTAAATTGCAAAATTTAATTGAAATTCGAACGTTTTTCGATAAAACAGATCGCAATTATTCAGATATTCTCTTATGTAATTGTATATAAATGACTGTTTGTCAAGATGTTCTTTATGTTTTTTAATGGATTTTGCTTATAAATGTATTAATGGCAATCTTGCAAGTTCAAAACAATAAATCTAAATTTTGAATAGGTCAATGGTATTTAAAGAAATTTTGCAAATAAATCAAATTTTAATAATTTAACATTATTAGTCCGTAAAAATAGCAGACACACGACTTGATTAGATTTTTAATTGAATAGGCAAATTTAGAGTCCGGGATGCAATCCATTTGTAAGACTTTTCCTCTCAATAGAGAAAATACAATAAATTTGTATCTATCATTTTGTCTGTTTTTACAAATATAGCATATTTTATTGATCCAAACACAAATAAGCCACTAAGGGAAAATAACTCGGATAATTTAATTTCATAAAGGAATGAACAGTAATATTTTTTTCTATTTTGTATTATTGCAAGAAAAAGTTACCCTAATTTTTTTGTTCTATAAGCATTTTATCAGAGCCATCTTCTAATATCAAATGTCAAAATTCTGTCGTTCTCTTTTTATTTTCATATAACAATATACTAATAAATAATCCATGCAAAATGTGTCAATTTTTCACGACCTGTATCTTGAAAACAAATTCTGTGACCTCCCATCAATCATATAAATGGTAAGTATTCTTATACAAACAACTTTAAGTTCGTGAGTCTGCCAATTGCTCCACACGAAACCTGTTTTAATTAACAATTACATGTATTTTTATCTGCAATCAAAACCAGGCTTCAGAGTATTTTGAAACTGCCTTGTCTATGGGCGGTGTGACTCAGACGAGGATGCTAAAACATTTCAAAGATCTTTTAGAGTATTTATAATCTAAATCCCTCTCCTCGTGCTATAGAATAATACACTTGTCTTCTATATCCTTTACACTAGTCCTCTTTCTAAAGTTAGTGATAGATGGGTAGAATTAGTCACACTTTAATTATTTTTAAAATGTCTGATTTTTACTTGCAAATAGCAACAAGGCGGGTGTCACTCATAGAGGAAGAGCTGCTTATCCTTCTGCAGCACCTGAGTGTATTCGCGGTTTTTGTTTTTGTTTTGTTTCGTGTTGGTCATTCTTATTTGTCTGTATTGCGTTTTGTTTGTTTTGCTATCAAAGTCAATTTTGATATGCCGAAATTTAAATTAAAATACCTTGAAATAGAAGTCACGAAGGTGTATTTTCTTTGCATAGTTGAAGATTGACTCTGCGTCAAAAGTTCAAGCAAAAATTAGTGGCATATCTTTTCCGTATATTCGTATTACCTCAAGGCAAAACTTATAAACATGCTGGTTTTGAATATTTGATAGTAAACAACGAAGGATAACTCTGACTAAACTACGGTATTTTGTCTGTTTTATCCCGTAATTGAAACTTTGTTATTTGGTCGTGACTATTCTGTTTAAGAGTTATTGAACTTTAACTGCTACGAAAACTACAATGCGTTAACTCAATTTTCGCTCAATTTGATCTTCATGTAATATCTATTTTATGATTTAGGATGCATACGCTTTATAATTAGAATTCAATAAAATTTACTTGTATACATATATATGTTTTATTTACCTCAATTTGAGAGATTTTGATTATGATATATATATTTTTTCTTTGTATATTTGAAGATTAACTTAGCGTCAAAAGATCAAGCAAAAATTAGTGGCAGATCTTTTCTGTATGATCGCATGACCTTAAGCCAAACTTATTAAACGACAAAAAATATGATACTAGTATTGAATATTTTATAGTAAACAACGAAGGATAACTATATATATATATATAGTAGCTGTTGTATATTCTGCTAAAAAAATGAAGAACTGATCAAATAACTTTTTTTACAGAAAATAAAACAGCCATTCCTTGAGGCAGTAAAGATAACGTTGGGAGATAGATATACAGACTACATGGCAACTGTATATACTATTACCATCGATTTTGTTCTAGACAGCCTTGTAGAAGGATACACGGATGACACGTCTCTGCAAATTAAACTAGACAATGGTCAGGAAATAGAAGTGAAAGAAAACGATAGGTCTTTGGTAAAAGCAGCAGAAAGCTAATGGTTCTAATCTGCTCAAGGTTTTTTTTTCAGGAAAAAAGCCTCAGATTATGCATAAAGGAGATGTAAAAGAAATGCCTTATTTAAATTGTGTAAATAATTGAGGTAAATGTACAGATAATTTATATCCGTTGGATGTGATTTAAGCAATAAATTATAAACACATTATATATAGTGCTGTAAGATATTTGTCATTATTTATGTATTTCACCGCATACAATTGTACGGTCTACTATATCACTTTTAAAAATTGTATTAGAAAAGCTCTTTACTCTAAAAAGTACGGGAACATAATAGATGAATTATACAGGATTTAAAATATTGTGTTGTATCTGTAAATACACGGGAAATATCATAACAAAATTTGCCTTTTCCCTGTAATATGATAAGCTGTATTTCAATTTGTTATCCACGATTCAGTTTTGACTCCGCTGGAAAACATTTCACGAAGAGGAGTTCTACGAATGTTTAAAAGATTTTCTAAGATTTGTTTAAGCTAGATTGTGATGTCTTTCACTCATTTCAATATGATAGATAGATTGTCATAACACATATATGTTTAATTAACTTTTCATTGTGTAGTTTTTATTGAATAACACTTTCATCATTATTTTGCATGACTGCATCATGATAAAATCTTTTTGAGGTACAAAATGTATATGATATCAAATGTAATAATGCTCACCTAATTTATCGCATACTTAAATAATAATATCGATTGATGAATTGTTGTTTTCTGAATGTCTTTTGCAAATATTTCATGCACATTTAGGACGAGAACAAATCAACAATAAATCCGATATATAAGCTTTGTAAAGATCGGATGAAGACTGGGATTTTTACTGTCACGATATATATAAGAGTGTATGCTGTATATGGATACTAGATTCCGTCCCCATTCCTACTTGGTGTATCTATGAATTACCCACACATCAAAATGAAGTCTCTACTTTAGGATTGATTTAATTGCCTAGTAGGAAAAGTCTGGGAGACTATATTTTTATACCAAATTTAACCCTGATGCTACAGTTAAAATAAATAAGCTAAACACAATTAGAGATGTATCCCTCACCTAGTCTCTATAAATGCATATAGTTCAGTCTTGACCTCAGTGACGTTTATGCAGTTTTGCTTTTTCTGTCGTAGCCACGATCCAGTCCTCCTTTCCTTGCTTTCTACATCCCAGAATGCAACATATTTTTATCATGAGCAACACAACGGGGACCACTAGTGAACCACGAACTGCTTACCCTCCTTATTTTTGATCGGTATACGTGTTCCTTTTCCCCAAATGCTATGTATTTATACAAAGAACTGTAAACAAAGTGCAACGATACAAATGAGGCAATAAAAAGGCATAAGTCGAACAAAAGTAGACAACAACAACAGGACCAAAATGACAAAAACACAAACAAGCACATATGACACTACAAATATTACTAAATATTGGGCAACTTGAATCCCACTAAAAACCTGGGTGAACTCAGGAAGGGTATACATCTTATGCTGCACTAGTGGCATCCGTCTCGTTGCTCATAACAGGAGGGCATATCATTAACGTAACTTAAAGTTATACCGTTCTTCATTGACGCCCACAACAACCTTATTCATGCCAGTAACTTAAAATAGATGTTGCTGTTAATCGTATTTGTTTTTCGTTTATTGTTATGTAAATTAATCAGGCCGTAAGTTTTTTCGTTTGAATTGTTTTATATTTGTCATTTCGGGGCCTTTTATGGCTTACTATGCCTATTGCTTTAATCTTTGTTGAAGGCCGTGTTGTGACCTATAATGGTTGTTAACTTCTATGCCATTTGGTCTCTGGTGGAGAGTTGTCTCCAGACATCGGGTAATGCTAATTTGTAATTGTAATGCCCTGTAATGCATTACATTTTACCAAGTAATTAGTTATAAGAAGATGTGGTATGAGTGCCAATGAGACAACTCTCCATCCAAGTCAAAATTTATAAAAGTAAACCATTATAGGTCACAGTACGGTCTTCAACACGGAGCCTTGGCTCACACCGAACAGTAAGCTATAAAGGGCCCCAAAAAATTACTAGTGTAAAACCATTCAAACGGGAAAACCAACGGTCTAATCTATATAAAAAACGAGAAACGAGAAACACTTATGAACCACATCAACAAACGACAACTACTGAACATCTGATTCAGATTCCTGACTTAGGACAGGTGCAAACAAATGCAGCGGGTTTAAACGTTTTAATGGTACCAAACCTTCACCCTTTTTCTGAAACAATAGTGTAACATCACAACATAGAAAGACACACTATAAAATATCAACTGAAATAGCTTAACTCAATCAAAGGACATAATAACACCATTAAACATACACTGAACAAATAAATTTGACCTATGACACAATGTAAATACAAAATAAATAAACAAAGGGAAGAATAATAAAAGTAACATGTTATATCGGTAAGAAATGTTAAACAATTAAAGAAAAACAATATGCTCGAACAAAAATATCAGCCTTTTGCAATAACTTTAAACACAGGTAAATGAAAATAATTGTGTTGTTAGGTGTACGTGTACAGTACCAATAGAGAAAGGAAATATTTTTACAAAATAAATAATTTTGATGTTCATAGTACGAAGTGAAAATTTATAGTTATACCAAACACTTATCAAAGCTGGTATATAGACCAGATATAATGCATGTAATGTGTAATGCCCAAATTTGTTGCATTACATGTAATTGTAATGTAATGCATTACATTGGCAAAAATGCATGTAATTTATGCATTACATGGCATTACATAGCATTACTTCTTGTCTGATAGTGCTATATGTTTCTACAAATTTCAGGGATAATAAGTATTACTGTTTTATTCTTTCCTTTAAGAAAATAGGAAAATGAAACACAAATCAATGTCTAGTGTAAATTTGACCTGTTGTAAAACTAATGATTTTCTTCATCTTACCTTAATAATAGAACATTTATACTAATAATTAAAATAGATATATTTATAAACATACAAAAATAATATTATTTTTTTTGGCAGTCATTTTCATATACTATTATAGTCATTGAGAAAACCTATACATAGGTATTTAAAGATGAAAGAAATAAGTTGAATGATTGATAATTGACACTTGACAAAAAACACTAATTAGTTTGTATAGCTATCAATTCCTTGCTTTTGACAAGCGAATTTGTGATTTTAAAGTAATTAATTTACATTGAGATTAAGTTAACAATATAATCAAAAAACATAATGGTAGAATAAATTCCTTACAACATTTCTGTTATTTCTTTTTTAGAGAAAACACAGAGATATATACTTCGAAATATAAAGCCTGACCCAGAATAACAATCAACCTTGGCAAACTTTGTAATCCATCTGGTATTCAGAAATATTAACTAAATGACCAAAAGCAAAACAAAGCTATAGATTAACTTTTCGAGTATATTGCTAGAAGTGATTTACTCCCATTTTCAACAATTGAAAGTCGAAAGTTTAAGAACTTTATAGAAAATCTTAACCCAAAATTTCAAATTCCAACATCTCTCATCTAAATTGATACAGACTAAGGCCAAGGATGTATGTCAAAAATTGTATGATAACCTTCAGGAAGCTAATCACATTTGTTTGACTGTTGAAATTTGGTCTAATAGGGCAATGAAAGGATTTTTATAATACCTATTTAATAGTTACCAAGATTGCAGTATAAAATGTAGTATATATGTTTCTTTTGATAATAAAATTTATTAAATGTAATGTGTAATGTAATGCATTACTGAGGTAAAGTAATTGTAATTTAATGCATTACTTTCCAAAATACATGTAATTGTAATTGTAATATAATGCTGGTTTTGTCCAAGTAATTGTAATGTAATGCATTACATTGCAATGTAAATCGCCCAATGCCTGGTTGTCTCATTGGCAATCATACCACATCTTCTTCTTTAGTGTAACCATTAGAATAACAGTGTATATGCGAGTGTCGACCCCCTTTCAATAGTGAATTTACTAATGATACAACAAGCTATATTTTTATTTTATATTGTTCGTCTCCATTTTTACACTATAAGTAGAAGAAAGCCATAGAGAAGTTGGAAGTTTCTTTATTTCCTGCTATATGAGACCTCTCAATTTACAACCTTTGATGTTCTAATCATTCAGTACTGAAATTGCGATGTGATGGATGAACGTAATTGAATTATTTGTATGGTCTTTTTACTAGTGAGGCATGATCTGATTTAGGTCTATATAGGACTATAGCTAGATTCTGTATACGTTATTGGGTAAAACGTAATTACTTTACTGATATAAAACAAGATTTCCACTGCTTTGTCAGCAAGGGACTTCCTTCATTCTAAAGTATATGCGCGTTCCTATACAGCCGTTACTAAATATTGTTAGTTGTTTATTTCATTAAGATTGACCATTTTTTTGTGAAATACTTTTTTGATATAAAAAATCTGACACACCGAGAAATCTTTCTGAGAGTTTTTGTATCATTGAAGTTAATGGAAGTAAATCACCGAGGCCGGGACTGGACTATGTATAAACCAAAGTAAATCACCGAGGCCGGGACTGGACTATGTATAAACCAAAGTAAATCACCGAGGCCGGGACTGGACTATGTATAAACCAAAGTAAATCACCGAGGCCGGGACAGGACTATGTATAAACCAAAGTAAATCACCGAGGCCGGGACTGGACTATGTATAAACCAAAGTAAATCACCGAGGCCGGGACTGGACTATGTATAAACCAAAGTAAATCACCGAGGCCGGGACTGGACTATGTATAAACCAAAGTAAATCACCGAGGCCGGGACTGGACTATGTATAAACCAAAGTAAATCACCGAGGCCGGGACTGGACTATGTATAAACCAAAGTAAATCACCGAGGCCGGGACTGGACTATGTATAAACCAAAGTAAATCACCGAGGCCGGGACTGGACTATGTATAAACCAAAGTAAATCACCGAGGCCGGGACTGGACTATGTATAAACCAAAGTAAATCACCGAGGCCGGGACTGGACTATGTATAAACCAAAGTAAATCACCAAGACCGTGACTGGACTATGTATAAACCAAAGTAAATCACCGAGGCCGGGACTGGACTATGTATAAACCAAAGTAAATCACCGAGGCCGGGACTGGACTATGTATAAACCAAAGTAAATCACCGAGGCCGGGACTGGACTATGTATAAACCAAAGTAAATCACCGAGGCCGGGACTGGACTATGTATAAACCAAAGTAAATCACCGAGGCCGGGACTGGACTATGTATAAACCAAAGTAAATCACCGAGGCCGGGACTGGAATATGTATAAACCAAAGTAAATCACCGAGGCCGGGACTGGACTATGTATAAACCAAAGTAAATCACCAAGACCGCGACTGGAATATGTATAAACCAAACTGATTAAAGGACTCCGAAAACAATTCACAGGAATAATAACGGAATACTATAATTCCGGAAAAGAAATCAATTCAAAGTCAGAGCTGCTTTAGAAAGACTTGTTTTTTTTGTCAAAGCGCAGTTTATTATTCTATCTTAACAAATTTATTGTTACCATATAACAATAAGAAAATGTGGTATGATTGCCAATGAGAAAACTCCACAAGACACCAAATGACAATAAAAAATTAACAAATATAGGTCACCGTACGGCCTTCAACAATTAGTAAATCCCATACCACATAGTCAGCTATAAAAGGCCCCGAAATGACAAATGTAA